AACTATTTAGAAGATTACCAGAACTCAGCAAGTATGTCGTTTTTACTCTCTTTCCTATCGACAAAAACACTGTGTCGAGACGCTTTAAAGTGACACCCATCGACCTTGAGATGTGCCTTTTCTGGCCCGCGATGCAGTTGTTGAGGAATAATCTGATACTGGCAAGGCGGTATAGCCAGTTGATGCCCTAGTTTGTCAGAACGCACCTTTTATGCAGAAAACATCTTTAATCATCCATATGAGTATCCTTAAAGGCCTTCAAAGTCCTTTCATACATGTACGAAGGAACAACTCTGAGATCGATGGCTGACAAACTCGAAACAGTGCGTCTGAAAGGGTCCACATAAGGATTTGAAATTTCAGACTTCCGTGCTGATTTCTACCACAGACTGACTAAATACACGACGAAAAATACCAGACAAACGACAGATGCCGGGTTCGCTGAAGGCGTAAAAGGAAGTTGGCTTAGGAATCAAGGCCTTTAGTCAGATACGAAGGATCGGGGATAAGAGCGACCACAAGTCATGATTATCATCTGTATATTGTAATAGGGCGACCAGAGCTACCCGAGACTCGCGTGTATAGCGATGGAAAACTGGCGTACGGCTGTGAATTTATGAGTCTAGTACATGTTAAATGCATAAGACATTTACACAGTTACAGACTGCATATCAAGGTCCTTGAGTGTGATTAAATTCCAGAGTATGAGGTGCAGGCCAGAATACCAGACTAACTTGTGGGGGGTAGCGACAAGCCAACTGAATCTCCAAAGGGGAAATACTCACATTGAACACATTCATGGCCCCAGAACGTACAAAAGGTTGATAAGAAGGCAAAATTAGCCGACCCACACAGCTATTAGACCCGGAAATAAGAAGTCACTGGGGTACAGTTAAAGAAGCGAAAAGCGAATAATGCGAAAGGTTGGTCTAAAATGACGGCCTACATGAACGCGAATGGTGCGCAGCTAGGTGAAGAGTTGAACTTGATAAACGCGCTATACACTTTCACAGCTATATGAAAGATCAACCCGCCAAAGCATTCGGAATTTGCTCTGGC